CCTGGTCCTGTCCGAGGCTGTGCACTCCTGACTGCCCCTCAGCTTTGTCCGTCACGACCTTCTGTGACCTTGAGGGCTCCCCTGCTATCCCCACTCCCAGACCTCCCGAGTCTCCCTCCTGGATGTCCCACTCTGGGGGCCGGCGCACCCCAGTCCTAGCGTGTCTTCGGGCTTCATAGCCGCCTTTCAGACTGGGGGCCCCCAAGGGAAGAAGACTCGTTGAAGGGAATATAGTTTGTCTCCCCCGCTGTGGGGTCGGAATCTGTGCCTTGAGGACAGATATCTGTTGGCTGACTACCTTAGATTTCTCCGTAAAAGGAACTCAATCCCTCCGACGAAGGGGTCGGCAGGCAGGGGAGGGATGAGGCTGCCACATTTGCTGGGCCAGCAGGAAGCCTTGCAGTTGACCGGCCGGGTTTGCTGAGCTGGCTCCGCTACTGGCCCAAGCGTCTACAGCACCCTAGGGCCTCCTGCAAGCGCGGGTGCCCAGAGAGGCTGGACGCCGGGTGTAGGTTTTTGCTAAGAAAGTCCATGGCTGGGCTGTGTGTTCACTCATGCGCGGGCGTGGCGGGTGCGTGTCTCTAATCGCCGCGCTCGAGAGGCCGAGGCAGGAGGGTCGCTTCTAGTGTGAGGCCAAGCGGATTCACCATTTCTTTACCCGTTCACAGTTTCTGCAGGGGCACAGAGGATTGTGTCTGTTCCCTGCACCAGAGTAATGCGCCGCACGTAGTAGATGCTCAGTGAATACCGGCGTGCGAGTGCGGAGCAGGTAGAAGAGACGTCGGGGCAGGCGGGACATTTATCACCGTAAGCCCCGGCTTCTCTGGAAAAGTCCGTGCTTCCCATGCGTCACTTCCGTCCGTCCTCGCTACACCCCCGCGAGGCAGGAGAACGGTCCCTTTTCCCAGGCGAGGGAATTGGAGCTAACCAGCTGCAGAGCTGGCCGTGGTGCATTTTTTGTTTGGTTTGGTACCGGGGATCGAACTCGGGACCTTGAGCTTGAGAGGCAGGCGGCGGGGCCACTGAGCTAAATCCCCGGCCCTCGCCCTGGTTTCTTAACACCCGATCTCCGGTGGGAGCCCGCCCGCCCCCCCACCTCTGCTCTGGGGTGATGGTTAACAAAATTCTGTGGAGTAATTGAGATGCGATGCCTTGGCCGAGGCCCTGACAGGGGCAAGGAACTTTCCGTTAATCTGTAACACCCACGCGGGCGGCGCTCCTCAGGAAGGCCCGTGCCAGGGTACAGGAGGGATAGGGTCTCCCTCCGAGGCTGCTGGGGACGTCGTTCATTTTTCCCCTCGCCTGCTCCCCGGGAGTCTTCCTTGCTGGGTCCAGCTGCGCGATGTCTCCCTTCTCCATTCGCCCCCGGAATGGCCAGCTCTGGCCCCGAGTCTGAGGGGAGCCTTGGCGCCGTGGCACCTTGGCTGCCCTTTTCCCGGTCTCTCTTCTCTGCAGTTGTTCCTAACCTGTGCTCCCCTCCCGGACACCCCGCTTCCTTCCGACTCATTCCTAGAGATCCCGGGGAACCCCCGTGTCCCGGCGTCATCGACTTCGCGTTCTCCTCGGTGACTTTGTGGTGTTGGCTGGTGCTCGGTTGTGGGGTGTCCTGGCCGCAGCCCTGCTCTCCAACTGCTTCATGTCGGTGGCTCTGGTTGGTCACCGTGAACAGTGTCTGAGACACTTCCTTGCTGGTGCCCTTGCTGTGTCCCCTCTCTATTTGGGACCTTCATTCACCCCCGAGCCCACACCCCGTCGCCTGCTGGACCCCCAGCCAGCCACTGTGCTGGCCACCTTGTCTGGCTAATATCTCTCCCCCCTTTGCTGGTGGTGTCTCCAAGGTGACCCCCTTCCCTCCCAGTCTCCTGGCAGCAGGGCCCCTGCCTTTGGTGCTGTCTCTGCCCCTCCCACTGGATGGCTGATGTCCTGCCTCACTTTCCCTGTTCTCCTGGGGCGGAGACATTGACCCTTTCATCCCAGGGGGCCAGACTCTCCCTGGACTTCTCAGCT